GCGTCCAGATGCAGAGGAACTTGGAGGGACTTATTAAAGAGTTGGACAAGCACACTATCTCTGTAATCATCATGAATAAACTATAAACAATACTATGTTGCGCGAAACCTAATTGCTGATTCTTGTATAATGAAACACGATCTAATTCACTCAAGATATATATTTTAACATTACATATATGTATAAACCACGTGACTTTAATTATGGAGGTTGCCACTGTAATTCTTATTCTAATGTGACTATTTTCTTTCTCCATGAACTATCTTAGTACGAACATCTCAGAGCGGGCCAAGTGACCTGTCAGTGACATATCTAAAAAACTTAGCCGGCAAGTTGTCTATCGAATTAGCGAGAATAATTATTTTTTTTCAAATGCTTACTTTGTATAAATAAATAATGAACTGTATCACAATAAATTGCGATCGGGCCATCTGGTGTACTGGTTTCCCCGGGGACGACCGAATTCTTTCCGGGGGTTCGACTCTGTCGACCACAACGCTGGGTTAAGATACCCGTTCGCTTTTGGCAATTTGTCTATTACGTTTTACATTGAGAAGACGTTGCGGTTCCTGTATAAATATGCCAAGGATTCGACTCTGTCGACCGCTCGTTTTGGAACTTTTTTTAAATAGCTCTTTTTGCAACCATAATGACAGTCAATTGAATATACAAGTAGATAGAAAAAATGTAGACCTGGATATGAATCGGAAAACGAATAAATAGAAATAATATCTATAAAGCGTAACGGTACGATTGCCAGCCATCTCATCAATAGTTACGGCTTAACAATGATATTCTCATTCACAAAGACTTTACATTAACCATAGTCAACGTTTGCAAATAGAAGTCTATCACTGTGACATTACAACAATATAAAATACCAACAGTCTTCATATATTTACCCACACAACATGACCCGCATTCGCTTAATTTATTATAAAGAATGTACAAACAAACAGATAGATAATACATACATAAACAATCTACAATCACGAAACCCTCCCTCCCTCCACATAGTTCCAACCCATATCTACTTCTTAGGATTGTTACGTTTTGGACTCTGTGGTCGAGAACTCTTTGTCGAAGCATCACTCGTCCGACGTCTTGTCTCTGTTGTAGTTGACGTTATCGCAGGAATACCTGTCGTCGAATTACCAGACACTTGTAATGCGCCTGACGATTTATTTGAAATATTACTACTGTTCAATGGTGTCGTTCGCTCTCTATCGCGACCGCGGCGGCGGGTCGAGCCTGATGATCTGTTTGTGAGTTGGACTAAAAAGTATATGCAAATGTGAATATAAAAATAAACGTGTGCAATAAATTATGCAATGAGCAAAGAGTATCAGTGTTACCTTGTTTATATATTTTCTCGTGTTTTGATTGAACCACTCGGAAATGAGATAAAAGATCTTGAAACTTGATCCCGTCATCTTTGGATGCTTTGGATTCTTTGTGTTTTTTGCTCTCGGAAGACGAGCTAGACATTGATGCATTGTTTACATGGTTTGATTTGGTAAGCTTATTATGACAGAGAATCAAACAAGTCGTACAATTATATCCTGCTCATACCTTTTAGGCACCAAGTGTAAGAAGCCCATGGAGCTTACACTGTTGAGACGACTTCTCAACGTTGCAAAGGCACTGCTTTGCGGCAATAACATCAAGACGCCATAAAGACACTTGAACAAATGCGGATATTTTTCAGGTTCGAGAAGCTGTAACCGTAGGTCTATACGAGATATTTTTCAACGCGAGAGTAAATACGCGAGTTTGATATAATCCAGACACAAAAGCTACTTACACGTAAATACAGGCGATTCAAGCAATTGTACAAGTTTGTCGATCTGTATAAGCAAATTAACAGAAATGTCCAATTCCCCGCTATAAATATAGTCATTCTTGTGAGTAACGTTATCCTAAATGTTTGTATATGTAATAATAGTACTGAATACTTACAAACTCTGCAACAGGTTAGCAGCATGCTCGTAAGCCTGGGCTAATAGACATAATGAGAACACCGCAACTGGGTTGTGACACCATGATTTGTATAAAGCAATAAATAGTCCTTGTCCATCCTTGGCATCGAAATTCTTTAATCGTTTGCGGAGCTCAAAAAGCTCTGGAGCAGTGATCAAGATGATATTCAAGTTCTGAACCATCGTGGATGCAAAATCCAAATCCTAAAAAATAATATACAAGGAATACTATTATAACTCAATCTTTTCTAATAAAAAATATACAATCCCTTTTACCTCTTCTTTTTCCAAAATTTCCGCAAAACTCCTATAAATGCGCTCCGAATTCAGGCTGAGACATAGCTGCCGAATAATCAGACTGCCTCTTGATTCGAGGAGCCGCTTGTCGGTGCTGAATAGTTGTAATAGATCAATCATAAATCGTGTAAAGTATGCATCTTCCGAATTTGAAGATATTTGAGCTAATAGCCGAAGATCTCGTTTCACGACCTACACATTACGAATTAGCGCCAGAATCACACAAGGAATGTCAGCGATATAATCGAGAAACTTCCGTCAGAGCAATACTATCGATGTAGTTTACCTCTTCCGATGGGTCGGACAAGGTCTTGAGTAACGCTGGGAACGTACCATCATCAATCGCCAAAATCTACCACAGAAAATTTATGCTCATTAGTAGATAATTTGCATAAAAAGCTCGGACGAACGAATACGTTTGTTTTTACATCTACCTTGTGAGGTGCTTTTTTATGAAGCATTAACAACCAATCCAAACTAGCGACTCTTGTTTCCTCATGCTCATCCAAAAACTGATGCACCAACGCATCCACTGTGGCCTGATAATCAAACGGATCGCTATGGCTCTTGTTGAGATCCACCGGCACAAGCGCTTGTGGACTTTTCTCGAGAATAGGCGATAGCATAGGATGCGGTTCTGATGAAGGCGAAGTTGACCTCATAAATGACGATGCCAATGACACAGCTGACGCAAATTTCCCAGAAGAATGTGACTCTTTGCCTAATGCGTGGTGAGTTATCGGTGTATTGTATGCGGCTGTTGGCATTTCAAAAATTAATTTGTACAAGTTGGAATTGACGTTTTCAGCGCTGGACCTGATGTTTGGAGCAGAGTGGGCCAATGATGGCAGCACCGCTCTAATCAGCTGTGGAGTAAACGGAACTATGACCTCCTTTGCAAGCTGAATAAACTCATTTATCCATTTCAAAGCTGTTTCTTGTATCAATTCCTCTATTTTGTAGCAAAAAAAAAAAGTAATGTCAGACCAATCATTATCACCAAAACCCACTCACACTATCCACCAAGTAAAGTTAATTACCTTGCGAACAAAGATGCGGCATCAATATCTCAATAATCCGTGAAAAATGTATCTCGACCCCTTGTCCGGGTATCCAAACACCCGATCCTTTCCCTCTGTCTTCGGTTTCAGCAACCGATACCACGTCCCAATTGATTCCCTTATCGGCCCCTGTCCAGACTAATACACCATCTTCGGTATCGCCAGTTTCTGCATTCGCTGCTTTTCTTTGGCGTTCAACATAATATTTCTTAATAGCCTCACGTTTTTGTTGCTCCTTCACCTCAACGGCTTCACGTATTTCCAACAAAAAATTTGCGAGCACCGTCGAAGTCGCATGACGTAGATTCCTGTCAGAGTCACTGAGAAGGTTGATTAAGCCCTCGAGAAAGTCTGGTAGATAGGATACGAGCTCGAGGTCTGGAATTGAATCCAAGACAGCGATCCAAGAGACTAGGAAGCTTCTCGTGAAGGGATTCTTGGCGTGAATACGTTCGGCGAGTAGAGGAATGAATTTAGGAAGGGAAAACGCCTTTGTGCGGGGCATGGATGCAGGCTTTGTCGAGTCCTCGTTCTTGACTATCGGAGGAACATCGACACTGGATACGTATGTTGTAGCTTGTTCGGCCACAATGTCTTTAATTAGACGATCAAGGAGTTCTGCACCGTTCTTTACCGAGAGTTCTGAATCGGCTGCGAGCTGAGGGGTTTACGAAAAATTGAATAATCACGATCATGGTCGTTAAATCGTAAAGATTTATAAATGCATTTTCCGTAGCGCTTACCTTGCCCATGGCATCAAACACTTCGTTAAAATACCTCAGTATTTCTCCTTTAGCTACTTTGGCAATATTATACATACTTTCACATGCATAATATCTCACACGGTTGTCTTGATCGGTAAAGCAAGCGAGAACAGGCATAACGATATCATCCAGGTAAGGTGCAACATCCTGTAAACCATTACGATGTACAATTCAGCAGAATTGACAGAGTTGAACTACTATGCGCTACAGAAAAACTCACCTGTCCAAGTGCAATTGATGCTGCCGCTAATCCAATTAATCCTCCGTTCCGTGCGTTAGAATTTCGCGAGAATGCAAAGTCATTGATTAACGTATTAATAATAGCTTTTATTTTGGCCACGTCTCCCTCTTTGGCAGCTTCTCTGATCAATCTAATTCAAAGCGCGAGTTTGTATTAGGCAAATGGGGTTTGGGTTGTCTATATTTGATCATTCATTAACATTCGTTCTTACTTTTCCACATCGAGCGCAACAGCCTTTCTCTTTTCATAAAATTTGTCGCTAAGTCCACGTATTATTTGTGTACTAAATGGAGAGGCATCAGTCATGTTTCTCTTTAATGTGTTCCGTATTCATTTCGATACTCATTGTTGAGAGAACTTTATGCTTGCGCCTATCTGAGCACGTGCAATCAGAACTTGATTTAATCAAGATTTGGGGGTAACGTTTCACGGTTGCATTTTTTCATTTACATGAGACTATAGATAGATAGCGTGGGTTATGTTATTATTATTATTATAGGAACTCTATACACTTTATTCGTTCTGTGTCCAAAGGAAGAATTAAATTGGCAATTAACTCTGCCAACTGGGTTACGTATGCAGAGTGTCGCAGATACAGAGCAGAGAATACACCATTTTTTATAGATGAAACAATGTTTATAGAGATAGAATAGATTCTTTATAGCCTCGTTGTTATCCAAATGGCCGCCTTGCATCCGGCATGTATCATTGCAGAGAGAGGACCATAGAGAGGTGCCTATGTTAATAAAGACGTGCGGCATTTGAGTATACAAAAATTTGCTTGGAGACGCAAAAACCACTAAAATGTCTGATAACCCTATTATTACTTTTTGAGCATCATAATCAACAGACGTCTCCAAATGCTGCAATTCCTCGTCTCTGAACTTCTTAATGACCTAAGTAAATCAACATGAGTATTCAGCACCGTTCACCCTCATAAAAGTAACAATTATCACTCACTTCTCTCAACTCGGTCGTTTCTTCATTATCGATATTTATCAATTCCCGTAATTGACTGATAACAACAACGATTAATATTGTATTGACAAAGATATCATAATCTCCAAACCTCCCATAACTTACTCGTTATAATGCTCCCCGATGACTGTCTCTACAGCTTCCGTGCATGCCATTGCTGCCTCTTTCCCCATCAATGCTGTACCTGCCCCGAGCATAAATCCAGCCGTTTCCCACAACGGTCTCAGTAGCGTAGGCCTAACTCTATATCGAGGAATTATTTCGTCAAAGGTACGCAAATGCACCTTCTCCTGATCCCACATTTCCTTCACACGATAAAGCGGTTGAGAGTTGAATATCCACATTCTATGCAAATAGTTGAACAAGAAATCCGCCATCGCACCTGAATAACATGTCCAACTTCTTTATCTTTTCCAAGAACAGCCATTTGACCTTTATAAATATAGTTGGCCCCCAGTTCGCCTGCGTGATCAACACGAATCATGCTTTCTATTAGCTTCCTTTCTTGATAGGTGAGAGGCCTCTTTTTAGAGGATGCTTTGGATTCAATTGTATCAATAGTCGAGTCTTTCAAGTCTGCCGTCGTTGCATCCGACCGCCTTAAAGACATGGAGAATTGTCTGAGTAATGCTAAGGATATTATTCTATCGTGTTGATGGAAAACATTGAGAGAGCGTCGGATTATGATATTTTTGTTCGAGATATTCATTTCGCGGATGTGATATGTGTGCATATGAAATTTGATTTATACAATAAATCATGTGATTGACGGTCGTTTTTTATTTGTTTATGGTTTGGTTGACAATTTACATAGTAATAGCGACCTCCCCCCTGATATAACTTATAGATCATAACACATTTTTGCATACATACAGCAGCAGTAGTGTAAATTATTAAAATGCTCTTTCCTATTACTATTAAGGAACCTCCATGTGAAGAATAAAATCAACTTTCCATGGCTGTGGCATTTTAGTGTGCCCAGAATGCATGGAAACTATCACATAATATTACACACCGAACAACAATTAAAAAAAAAATATGCATCGATTGCTGTCTTGGAGAGCACTAGTAATATTCATTATGTCTTTCGAGTTATCTTTTACCAATCAAAGAGAATAGCTCCCCTAATAATATGACGTTAATATCACAGACACGTGTAAATAACTATTGTACAATATCGATAAATAGACGCGATTTGTTTATACTCCGCCTTGTCCAATGATTAATATATAGAGGAAACTCTAATCAACACTGAGAGTGGAAGTAATTGAGCGATAATTGTCAATGCTAGTGCATTTATACAAGGCATTGCAATCTTTGACAGTACCATTTGGAATTTCAATCGAGAGAGTGGAGATTTTGTTAAAGTAGATCTTTAATTTAAGTGTTAAGAATTAATATAACTGTATAAGTGTACCTTAACTGTATACTAATACGTTTACCCGAAATTGTTATTACTCATAGTAATAGTTCCAGTGACTAGTGATAAACAAATTACCCGCAATTTCTGCTTCGTACAATATGTTAACTGACCAGGGGCTACAAAGTCAAACCGAGAATCAAAAGTGTCGCGTAAGTGAGTTCATTTGTTTATTAGTCCCTCCATTTGTTTAAATCCCCCAGAAGTCGAATATATCCATATGTGTCGATTCCGGAAAGCCTCTGCGTCGGAGATCATTGGGACTGCCACTTTTTTGTAGCATGACTAATCTACCTAAATTTAATTCGATATTTCTATCATAACCGCAAATTACTAAATATAGATAAAATCAAATGGTAACATTATTTTATTCTGTCCTCCCGCATTATCGCAAGCAATCTTTAAATACTTGTCGCCTTTATTCAATCTCTTAATTCCATCGAATCCCATGCTCAGCGTTCCATTAGGATCTTTGCCAATTATTTCATCTTCATCAAGATTTGTTCGCGTACTGCCTCATCTTGAATACCAAATAAATGTACTTTACGCGGACTAAGATAATAAATCTTACTTACTTGTTGATCAGAATGGGGAACGTGAACGTTTTGTGCCCAATCGTAACTGTAATGAGCAGTAGCGTCAATGCTACAATAATCAGCTTTGCCTCTCGTCATCAAATAAATCTTTACAAAAAAATTCGTGAAATAACTAATTTATATTGCATAACTTTTTTTTTTTGTAACACACCAACCAAAATTTTCTACAATACAGCAAGCCCCTGTTCAACTGCTTTTGGTAATAGTATAAAGTCTCCTTTCTGTGGTTCCTGGTTTTGGAAAAGCAATTAGATTCGGTGTCATGTTTAAATGTTTTTTGTTGTAAGTATTTCTCATCAGCAAAAGTATTAATATTAGTTGTATCAATCGTAGTTGTATTATATGTTAGAGTAACTAAGACCAAGAAAATATCAACAGAAACAACTTGCAAAGTTTGTTAGCAGACAGTTGACAATACACGTACTTGAGGGTATGGCTTTCCGTGATCATCATCTCTTTTCTCGTGCCGTTGCTAAATGTTAGTATTTGAAACATCCAGCATAACGCTAACGATAAATCCCAAAAGTCAATATCGCGTCTGTTTCCATCCCAAGGCCTGCGTCGTTACAACATTTATGATATCTAAATAAAACAAATCCGAATATAATCTAATTCTATTCTTATCGGTATCCTTTCTTTTCACCACACCAAAACTAATGATATTCTCTACAAATGCAGCCAGACGTCTTTATCATAAAGAACATTTACAGTTTATTATATTCAAGCGCAAGCTTAACAAGTCAATATTCTTCCTTTCTTTATTAGCCAGTACTTTTGTTTCTTGTATGTAAATCCAAAGGTAACCCAAGCATTGTTGATAAGAATATCGGGATTCTTAATACATAACTAGTGGAAATGATATGTTATATTGAACCAGTAATTATCCAAACAATGCAATAAAGCAATGCATAATTGAATAGGTTACCTTGTCATAATAGGAATCATCTACATCTGTCTTATTGTTATTTTAAGTCGAATCAATTTAACGGGTACATAAACAGGTGGACCATCTAAGTATGCCTTATTTTTCCAACAATCAATACTAGTTCTTTATGTCCACAAATGCACCACACGGGACTACATCGGAGTGCGGTGCAAAATCCTTATCGAGAATAAAAATTGTAAAAGTGTCTATCAGCAACCATGTAATATTTATCTTCATGCCTTGATAAATCCAATTATGAGTTTATTGCGATAACTAAGCCATAAAGAGTATCGTCTAAAGTGACTGACATCACTATAGTACTTGTACGTGTACATGTTTCATATTGCCTGCACCATTGCCCAGTCTGCGTTTGCGAGTAGACGTTGTCAATTTGACTTTGGCTTTATGCGAATAATTTGCGAGTAAGGAATCCTAAGGAGGATTGAATCAACTAACGACATAATAGTAGAAAAAACCATTGTTTATTTTAAACTAATTAGCTTGTACAGTTTGTTGGCGAGATCGTAGATAAATATGCACGTAATTGCGAAGTTAACAGGAAAAAGTTACTACTAATATGAATATGAATACATCTCAAGTTATCAAGGCGGTAAACCTTTAGCGTTCAATCGTAGGTGTAGATAATAAAAGAACGCAAAACTTCAAGTTATCAAGGCATCCGCACATATTAAATTGTGTGCAATATATTGAAAGTAGAGAAGAACATTCTGAAAGAAGAAATCCGTTTAGGACGTTAAATGTATAAGCTTTGGTATTTCTAACTGTGTCCTTTTCTTAATAAGGCGTTTATGTAGACATGAAGTAATTATAACGCCGACAGATGATGGTTATGGAATATGCTGGCGGCGAATTGTTTAATTCATAGTCGAGAGAGGGGAAGCAGTAAGTTTTCGTTCTCTAAAAAAGTATTAGTAGGTGTAACAGTTGATAGCACAAGAAGATACACGTTGTTTTCTTTCGACAGAATAATTCGTGTGATGGAATATTGCTATCGACACAAATTACAGTTTCTTCGAAAATTGTTGAATGGACATCGAAGATAGTAATAACATTTTCATTGTATGCATTACGCGAATTAACACATATTTTTACTTCTATAGTAACGGATGTCAGCCTGTCCAACGTAGCATGTAACGACTGATGGCGATTTTTTGAAGACTAGCTGCGGGAGTCCAAGTTGCGCTGCGCTAGAGGTTATTTCAGAAAAGCTATACGCTCGGGCCAGAAATTGATGTTTGAATTTGTGGAGTTATTCTTTATGCCTTTTGATGACGAATACATTCCGCCTTTGTTCAGAAGATTAAGGGTAACTACATTTATTAGAACTATTGAGGTTTATTCAGTCATATAACCTCTTTCTCTATTATAGTCGGTATTTACACGTATACTCGAGACCATATGCCTTCTGTCGTCAATGCCTATAGTTGACCCTCTTACGGATTACTATCGCTCAAATAAGGTAAATGAGCCTTATGATTTTTGGAAGTCAATGACACCGATATTCATTATCACGTCTACCATGGTTTAACGTATGCTTACGCGAATACCTTAAACCTTCCCGTGAGCAACAGACAAGGACATCGTATCAGAACTATGTAAGTTAAGCGATATTGTGATATCAATTTAGAGTACTTTGCATTTTATAGTTTATTCTAGAAATGGGTTACAAGATCTGACAACAATCAAATAAGACTCGCATACCAGCAATCATAAAGGGATGATAGAGGTTGTCGTACTTGCCAATCCAAGTCTTATAGCTTGGGTATGTTTAGCGAATACCGAGAGATAACAATATGCGGAACTTTCTTGCATCATCGTGGAACGTTATGCAAGTAGATATAATAATAATTCGCCTTACACGCAACGATGTGTTAATCTCTTATCATTTACTGAATATAACAAGCTTTGCCAATGAAAATTTGAGCGCCCCATCCAGCGTAGAAGCTTTAAGCCAGTATACCTACCATAGCAAGATTACTGCTTCTTCTGTACATTCTTGTCTTTGTCCATGTCCATTCTATCCATCTCTCGTTACGTCCATCAATCGCGAGTGACCTTCAATGCAATTCATCTGTGTGCGGGCATAAGCACGTACACAACCCTACAAAAACTACTAATATTAACACCGACGGAAAATTTTTATTAATTCGACCTACTATGATAAGATAACAAAAGACGTAAATGTTGTAAATTGACTTTATTTTAACATGTAGCCAATTCATGTTGTCTTCATTCTGCAAACGAATCGAAATCTCTCCTAAATCTCGTCTACCTTCTCTAACTTTATTACTGAACCTGACAAGCTGAAATCTGGTAGGAGAGTTAACTGTTGAGAAAAACTAAAATTGCGGCTGTTTCTTGGTTTAGGCAAATCTCCAGTAGGTAAGAGTGTGCTAAAGTATTTACTCCTCAAGACGTGATAAGGGTCTTACATCATTATGATAATGGTATCCCATATATCGTTGTCCGAATAATCATTGTCAGAATCGTCCATGTCTCTAAGGTCTCCAAAAGCTCCTCTGCATCTGGACGCTCGCCAGGATCAGCATCACAACAACGTTGAGCAAGTTCTTTGTATTCTTCTGGTGCTGAATCAGGCATCAGTACTCATGATATCGCATATTAAATCCCTATCGAATTGCCTATCT